CCAGCACTCCAGGCAGAGGCAGAGGCAGGATCTCTGTGAGTTTGAAGTCAGCCTGGTTTACAGAGTGAGTTCCAGGACAGCCAGGGCTGTTATACAGAGAAACTCTGTCTTGAAAAGCCAAAAAGAAAAGAAAAAGAAAAAAAAAAAGCCTTTAATCTCAGCACTAAGAAGGCAGAGGCAGGCAGATCTCTTTGAGTTCGAGGTCAACCTGGTCTGCATAGTGAATTCTAGGAGAGCCAGAGCAACATAGTGAGACCTTGTCTGGAGGTGTTGTGGGGGGGAGGCCATGAGGCTGGGGATATTTGGGCCTCAGGAGATGGTTCAGCCAATAAGGTGCTTGCTTGCTATAGAAGAATAAGGTAGCGGCATTATTCGTAGTAGCCAGAACCTGGAAACAACCTAAATGCCCCTCAACTGAAGAATGGATAAAGAAAATGTGGTACATATACACAGCGAAGTATTACAAAACAGTAAAAAACAATGACATCATGAAATTTGCAGGCAAATGGATGGAACTAGAAAATATCAGAAAGACAAATATGGTATGTACTCACTCATAAGTATGTATATATGATGTAAAGCAAAGGATAACCAGACTACACCCCACAGCTCCATGGAAGCTAACAAAGAGTGCCCTAAGAGGGATGCAGGATCGCCCTGGGAAGGGGAAATAGATGAGATCTCCAGAGTAAACTGGGGGTGAGGGGTGGGCAATAGAGGGTAGGGGATGGGGGATGAGAACATAAGGGAATGGGATGGTCCAGCTAGAACAGGGACGGAGTGGGAGAGCAATGAAAGAGATATCTTGATAGAGGGAGACATCATGGGGATAAGGAGAAACCAGGTGCTAGGGAAGTTCCCAGGAATCCACAAGGATGACCCCAGCCTAGACTACTAGCAATAGTGGAGAGGGTGCCTGAGCTGGCCTACCCTGTAATCAGATTCGTGAATACCCTGTCATCATAGAGCCTTCATCCAGTAACTGATGGAAGCAGATGCAGAGATCCACAGCCAAGAACCAGGCCAAGCTCCAGGAGTCCAGTCAAAGAGAGGGAAGAGGGATTCTGTGAGCAAGGGCATCAAGATCATGATGGGGAAACCTGCAGAGACAACCAAACCAAACTAGTGGGAACTCATGCAATTCAGATCAACAGCTATGAAGCCTGCATGGACTAGGCTGCATGGACTGGACTAGGCCCTCTGCATAAGCGAGACAGTTGTGTAACTTGGTCTGCTTAAGGGGCTCCCTGGCAGTGGGATCAGGATCCATCTCTGGTGCGTGAACTGGCTTTTTGGAGCCCAGTATCTATGGTAGGACACCTTGCACAGTCTTGATGCAGAGAGAGGTGCTTGGTCCTGTCTCAACTGAATGTACCAGGCTTTGCTGACTCCCAATGGGAGGCCTTACCTTTTCGGAGGAGGGAATGGTGGGTAGGTTCATGGGGGGAAGGTCTGGGGGGAGAGCGGGAGGAGGGAAGAGAGGGGGATCTATGGTTGGTATGTAAAATGAATGAGAAATTTCTTAATTTAAAAAAAAGTGGAAAAAAAGAAGATGAAGAATGAGGAGCTCAGTTCAATCCCACAGAACCCACATTTAAAACAAAACCAACAGGCAGAGGCAGGTGGATTTCTGTGAGTTCCAGGACAGCCAGGGCTACAGGCACTAGAACACTCACTCACTCAAAACAAGTCTTTAGAAACAGCCCGCAGCCCTGTCAGCTGACTGATGGACCAACAAAATGTAGCACATCTGTGTCAGGAGTACTATACAGCCCTAAAAAGTGACAAAATATTGCCAGGTGGTGGTGGCACATGTCTCTCTACGAGTTCGGGGTCAGCCTGATTCGCAAAGCGAATTCCAAAATAGCCAGGACTGTACACAAAGAAACCCTGGCTTGGGGGGTGGAGGGAAATGACAAAATATGGACACGGGCTAAACCTCGAAAGCCTCAAGCTGAGTGAAAAGTCAGACACAAAAGGAGACATACTGTATGAGTCCATCTCTATAAATTGTCCAGAATAGAGACAGACAGACAATTAGTGGGTGCCAGGATCCAACAAAAGGAAAGAATGGGAAGTAATGGCGTAACGGATGTAGGAGTTTCTGGAACCAGATAGAAATGATATCCTGCAACATGGTAAATGCATGAAATGGCATTAAATAGTGTAGCCCCAGCTGGCCTTTTAACTCACAGAGAAGTGCCTACCTCTGCTGCCCAGGATCTAAGGTGTGTGCCACCACCAATGGCCAAAAAGTACATGCTAGAATGGTCTAAATGGTGAGTTTTGTGTCTATATGTGTGTGTATATAAACCATAATTTTTGAGATGCGGTTTTCATGACCTTAGACTAGCCAATGGCGTCTTAGACATGACATCAAAAACTAAAGCTTCAAGCAGGTCCTCCCAGCAGCCATACAATTCCTGCTGAACCTCCTCCTCTTCCGTCTCTTTCTCTCCGATCCTGGCCAGAGCCCAAGCATGTGGTTCTGGTGCTCTGGGCTTCCTACTCCTTTCCTAAAGTTCCCCTCCACCACAGGCAGCTTCCCTCAGAAACCTGTGGTTTTTATTCCTTCTCTTCCCCATTCTCCTCCGATGGGCAGCTGATGGATTTACAATTTGCCTACCCTGGGGATTAGCTTTTAAACTCTAATAAAATTGTCTCAAGCTTTGAAAAAGAAGAAAAAAGAAAAACCAAAGAAATCAAGGAGCTGTGGGTGTAGCTCAGTTGGTAGAGCGTGCCCAGCATGCACAAAGCCCTGGTTTAAGAAAATAGGCATGGTCATGCTCACCTGTACGCACAGCACTCAGCAGGTGCAGGCAGGAGGATCAGAAATTCATGGTCATCTTCTGCAACAGTAGTTCTCACCCTTCCTAACGCTGTGACCCTTTAATACACACAGTTAGTTCCTCATGCCGTGGGGACCCCCAACCTTAAACTTATTTTGTTGCTACTTTATAACTGTAATTTTGCTACTGTTATGAATCATAATGCAAATATCTGATATGCAGGATATGTGATTCGTGACCCCTGTGAAAGGGTCATTTGACCCCGAAGGGATGACCCGCAGGTTGAGAAACTGCTGCTCTACAATATAGTGAGACAACCAGCCAGGGCTACAAGAAAACACACCACACACACATACACAAAAGTTTTTAAGGAACGAAATTGGACTATCAAAATTTAAAAACTTGGGCTGGAGCAATTACTCACCTATTATAAGAATGGTGACTGCTGTTCATTCATTTCCTAATACCAGCATCAGGTAGCTCATAAACACCTGTAGCTCCAGTTCCAGAGGATCTGATGCCCTCTTCTGGCCTCTTCAAGTACCTGAACACATGGCATAAATCTACACACATACATACATACACACACATGCTCTCTCTCACACACAAATAAAAATAAAAATAACCTTTTAGAAAATCAAAAGGTTAAAAAAACTTTTATTTGTAAGGAACACTCTCAAAGGCAGGACTGTAGCTCAGTTAGCAGAGTGCCTGCCTTGTCTGAACAATGTAAAACCCATCTCAAAACTTAAACAAAAGATAATATTATTAAGAAATTGATGGGGGGGTGGAGCTGGAGAGATGGCTCAGTGGTTAAGAGCACTGGCTGCTCTTCCAGAGGACCCAAATTCAATTCCCAGTACCTGAAATACAGCTCACAACCGTCTGTAACTCCAGTTCCAGAGGAGCCAACACCCTTAAACAAGCATACATGCAGACAAAACATCAATGCACATACAAATAAATAAGTAAAAATAAAAGATTTTAAAGATTAAAAAAAATAAAAAAAGAAAGTGAACGGCCAGGCACAGTGTCACACACCTTTGATCCCAGCACTCAGGAGGCAGAGGCAGGAGGGTGTCTGGGAGTTCAAGGCCAGCCTGGTCTACAGAGTGAGTTCCAGGACAGCCAGAGCTACATACTGAGACTCTGTCTCAAAAAACAAAGAAAGTGAAAAACAACCTGCAGATTGAAAGAAATATCAAAACAGTATATTTAATAAGGATTCGGAGTATATAAAGAACTATTACAGCTTAACGATAAAAGGATACCTGATCTTTAAAATGAGCAAAGGGTCTGAATACACTTTTACCCAAAAAAGATAATTTTTTTAAAGATTTATTTATTTATTATGTATATGGAAGAAGGTGCCAGATCTCATTACAGATGGTTGTGAGCCACCATGTGGGTGCTGGGAATTGAACTCAGGACCTCTGGAAAAGCAGTCGGTGCTCTTAACCTCTGAGCCATCTCTCCAGCCCCAAAAAAGATAATTAAGTGGCCAATAAGCACATGAAATATGCTCAAAGTTTTGCCTTAAGTGAAATGCAAATTAAAATCACAATGAGAAAACAGGCTTGGTGTCCCAAGCTATTAATTCCAGTACTTGGGAGGTGGAAGCAGATAGATCAGAAGTTAGAGGTCTGGGGGTTGGAGAGATGGTTCAATGGTTAAGCACACTGGCTGCTCTTCTTTAGTTCAAATCCCAGCACCCATGACTGTAGTCCCATGGGATCCAATGCCCTCTTCTGGTATGCATACATGCAGACAAAACACCCATGTGCATAAAATACATAAATAAGTCTCTTTAGAAAAAAAGAAAGAAAGAAAAATTCCGCAGCATTTTTGACTACACAGTGAGTCCAAGGCCAGACTGGGATACATGAGCCCTGTGTCAAACAACAAGTCACAGTAAGATGTTGTGACAGTTAATCTTGCTTGTCGATTTGATTGGAGGGACCTAGGAGATTGGTAACGCTCACCTCTGTGTATGTCAGTCCAGAGAGGAAGGTGGAGTGGGGATATGGCGCTGCTGGAATTTGGTCTGTTGAAGATCTGGATTAATGAAGTGAGCCAATGACTTGACAGACTGGATCAGTGTGTCAGGCTGCAATATTTTTTTTTAATATTTTTGATCATATTTACCCCCAACTCCTTCCCTTAACTCCTTCCAGATCCATCCTCCCATTTTATGCTTTGGTTTCCTTTTAGTTAATAACCGTGGACTCCAGTTTGTGCTGCCAGCGTGTAGGGTCATCCACTGGAGTGAGGTTGACCCTTGAAGGAGGAGCCCCTTCCCATTCCATGCTCGAATGTTTGCTAGATTGGCCTTGTGCAGGTCTTGTGCAGGCAACCACAGCCGGGGTGAGTTCATGAGTGCCCTGGCCCTGTCATGCCAGAAACTCTGTTTCGCTCCAGTCTTCCTCAGTCTTACACTCTTTCTTCTCTCTCTTCCAAGATGGTCCCTGAGCCTTGGGAGGAGGAGGCTGCAATATCTTTACTGAAGCAATTTAAATATAAGAATAAAAATAAGTCTTTCCGTTCTGCTGCCGCCATGCCATCCGGACTGAGGAAGACCCGGAAACTCCGGGGCCACGTGAGCCACGGCCACCGCCGCATCGGTAAACACCGCAAGCACCCAGGAGGCCGCGGTAATGCTGGAGGCATCACCACAGGACCAACTTCGACAAATATCATCCAGGTTACTCTGGGAAAGTTGGTATGAGACATTACCACTTAAAGAGGAACCAGAGCTTCTGTCCGACTGTCAACCTGGATAAATTGTGGACACTGGTCAGTGAGCAGACACACGTCAATGCTGCAAAGAACAAGACTGGAGCTGCTCCTGTCATCGATGTTGTGCGATCAGGCTACTACAAAGTTCTGGGGAAGGGGAAGCTCCCTAAGCAGCCTGTCATCGTGAAAGCCAAATTTTTCAGCAGAAGAGCTGAAGAGAAGATAAAGGGTGTTGGAGGTGCCTGTGTCCAGGTGGCTTGAAGCCACCCAGGGAGGTTAATTAAATGCTAACATTTTCCAAGTGAAAAAAAAAAAGAATAAAAATAAAAATTAAGGAGTAGGGGGATGTCTCAATAGGTAGAGTGCCCGCCACCTGCAATTATTAATAAAATGGACACATGGAGTCTGGACTATCCAGTTAATGTATCTATACCCAGAAAGTCAGTCTAACTTTGTTTCTTTGTTTGTTTGTTTGTTTGTTTAAGATAGGATCTCACTACATAGCCCTGGCTAGACTGAACTTGCTAAGTAGACCTGACTGGCCTTGAACTCACAGATCTGCCAGCCTCTGCTAGTATTAAAAGTGTGTGTCACAGGCTGGAGAGTTGGCTCAGTGGTTAAGAGCACTTTCTGCTCTGCAGAGGACCAGGGTTCAGTTCACAGCACCCACATGGCAACTTAGAACTGCCATCTTCTGACCTCTTGCTCCTGCATGCACATGGTGCACATAAACTCATGCAGGAAAATACACACACATATTAAATAAATAAATAAACCTTAAAAAAAAAAAAAAAAAAAGGAGCCGGGCGGTGGTGGCGCACTCCTTTAATCCCAGCACTCGGGAGGCAGAGGCAGACAGATCTCTGTGAGTTTGAGGCCAGCCTGGTCTCCAAAGCGAGTTCCAAGAAAGGCGCAAAGCTGCACAGAGAAACCCTGTTTCGAAAAACCAAAAAAAAGAAAAAAGGAATAACAAATGTCAACTCTTCCATTCTACGGGCCAAGGTCAAGATGGCCTGTGGTGGCTCATGCTGTTAATCCCAGCACTCAGGAGGCAGAAGCAGGTGGATCTCTGGGCATTTGAGGCCAGCCTGGTCTATAGAGCAAGTTCCAGGACAGCCAGAGCTACATAGTGAGACCCCTGTCTTAAAAGAAAAGAAAAGAAAAAAGAGAAAAGTAACCCACTGGGCCAAAGTCCCAAGGTGCTGGGAGAGTCACCCTTCCCTTATTTCTCCAGCTCTTCCCAGACATTCCCATTTCACCTGCCAGCATTCCTCAGATCCTAATCCATGCTTCACTCCAGGACTGGGCAGGAAATTCGACTCTGGCTGGTCTGTAAACACGTGACTGTTGTTCGTCCTCCTGAAGCAACCTCACATTCCAGCTCAGGAGAGGCTTCCTCGACAGAACCACACCCAGGCCCGTTGCCCCCGCCCCTCCCACCTGCCCCTCCTGCCTTTTGCTTCCCCTCCCGACTCTGTCTTGCTATACACCCCAAGATGCATTTAAGTGTGTGTCTTAGTCAGTGTTCTGTTGCTGTGAAGGGACACCATGACCACAGCAACTCTTACAAAAGAACATTTAATTGTGGTGTTGCTTACAGTCTCAGTGGTTAGTGCATTATCATCATGGCAGGGAGCATGGTAGCACGCAGCAGACTTGGTGCTAGAGAAGTAGCTAAGAGTTCTACACTCTGTTCCTTTATTAGAGCGGGGGGGGGGGGGGGACTCTGAGCCATGCATGGGCATTTGAAACTCAAAGCCCACCCCAGTGACAGATTTCCTTCAACAAGGCCACACCTGCTAATCCTTATAATCCTTTCAAACGGTTCCACCCCCCTGGTGACCAAGCATTCAAATATATAAGCCTATGGGGGCCATTCTTATTCAAACCACGACAGTGCATGACCCCCCTCTCTCCCTCGACCCCCAATGCCAGTCTGCTTGTCCTTCTCTTCAAGGACTCTCCTGAGGTTTCCACAAAGTGCACTACAATCTTTTACCATTTTCTACTTTAATCCTCTGAAGTTGTCATCGAGAAAAGAGGAGGACTGAGGTCAAGTCCAAATGACAGAATGCAGCTGCTTATTTGTCTCCTGACAAGGATGGCTCATTTCTGGGCTCTGATGGAAGAGCCTCACTGCACCCCATCCACAACATCAGCAGAGCCAGTTCCACGTTTTAGGTTCTGCCATTGGCATCCCTACACACCCCGCCAACTCTCTATTTGGATTCGTTGGTTTGGAAGTGACAGAAATCCAACTTGAACTCGATTAAACATAGATAAGAATGTGTAAGGTAATAAAATCCAATAAATGGCTAGACAACTAATTTGAAGAAAGAGTAAAGATGTCTCAGGAAGGGCCAGTGAGACAGCTTAGCAAGGGAAGGGAAGGGGCTTGCAGCCACCAAGCCTGGACCTGAATTTGATCTACAGGACTTGCATTATAGAAGAAAATGGACTCCCAAACGTGTCGTCTGAAACACACACACACACACACACACACACACACACACACACACACACACACAAATAAATGTATGTAGCTGAGCATAGTGTCATACGCCTTTAATCCCAAAAGTCAGGAGGCAGAAGCAGCAGATCTCTGCCTGTTTGAGGCCAGCCTGGACTACATAGTGAGTTCCAGGCCTGCCAGAGCTACGTAATAAGTTCCTGTCTCAAAATAAATAAATAAGTGATATTATTTTATTGTCTAAATTCATATAACAATTCCTGGTGAGGAAGAGCTTTGTTGACCCACCTTTGGTCAAGATCCACACTTGGACCAATTCTGACTGAGGGCAGGAGTATATAAGCACATGTGTCCTGGGTGATCATGTGGATAGAAGGGACTATTCTCAATTTCCAAGGGGAAAGGTTGTGCTGGGCTGACCAATTCAAAAGTGTCTACTATGGCAGCCCTTAGGTAGGTCTCTTCCTCCGCACTACCACCTAGGTAAGTTCCTCAACCTGTGGTGTGCTTGGTAGGTGCTAAGGGCTGAGTGTGACTGTCCCCAATGGGTGCCTGTGTGAAAACACTCTGTCCCCACCAGACATCACCATTTGAATCCTGGTGAGAACTCCAGGAGGTGGGTCTAGTTGTAGGGAGTAGGTCACTGGGGCATGGCTTTGAAGGTTTCACCTGGTCCCTAATCCTGTCCTCACTTTCTGTTTCCAACTTGCCTCCAGGTAAACAGCGGCCTCTTCCACACACTGGCTACTGCCATGATGTTCTGCCTCAGCACAGGCCTAAACTCAGTGGAGTCAAGGTCTATGGACTGAAATATCTGAGGCCATGAATTAAAATAAATTATTTTGCCCTTAATTTTCTGTCTGGTCACAGACAACAATAAAAGTAACTAATAGAATAGAATAAAACCCTTTGCTTTGTTTTTGTTTGTTTGTTTGTTTTTTGCTATGGCCCCTTTCTAAGCAGCTACAGAGCTTATCCATTATATCCAGACTGGTGTCTTAGTGTTCTATTGCTGTGAAGAGACACCACGACCACAGCAACTCTTAGAAAAGGAAGCATTTAGCCGGGAGTGGTAGTGCACTCCTTTAGTCCCAGCACTCCGGAGACAGAGGCAAGCGGTTCCCTGAGTTTGAGGCCAGCCTGGTCTACAGAGCAAGCTTCAGGATAGCCAGGGCTACACAGAGAAATCCTGTCTCAAAGGGGAAAAGGAAAAAGCAGACAGCAGGGAGAGAGAAACTCTGAGCTTGGAGTGACACACTTTCTCCAACAAGGCCACACCTCCTAATCCTTTCAAATAGCGCCCCTCCCCCCACCCCCCCATCCCCCCACCACCCCACTACCCCACCCCACCCCCCCACCCCACCACCACCCCTCACCACCAACCCCCCCCACCCCCGTGACCAAGTATTTGCATTATGACCCTATGGGGACCATTCTCATTCAGACCAGCACAACTGGGATGTCACTCATCCAAGTTCTAACCAGGCCTGTGTAAGCTTAGCTTCAGAGATCATGCAAGTTCAGGGTGATGTGGCCACAGACGAGACAGAGACATCTGATTCCACTTAGCTTCTAATTATAAATGGGCAATGAAGCTCCTGCGGTCATTGCCCCAAAGGAGAGAAGATACATTGTAGTAACAGGAAGGATCACATGGAGGTGACACTCAGCCCAGGAGATCTTGCCTTGAGTGCTAAGAGTGCAGGGCGGGGTCCACAGTGTACACTCTATGAGGTCCTCTGGGAAGGATTCTCCCACCCTGCCACAGTCCCCCGCCATCTCCTTTTGCACTCTCCTACCAGACTCCTCCCCTAACCTCAGTCTCTGCAGGGGTCAGGACCCTGGTGGTGGTGTGGTAGAAGGTAATTTCATTACTGTTTGCTACACACCAGACACTATGTGTGATGGCAGTTATTGGTTGTCAACTTGACTACATCTGGAATGAACCAAAACCAAGCAACTGGATACATCTGTGAGGGATTTTTCTGAATTAAATTGTTTGAAGTGGGAAAACTCACCTTTAATCCAGATCTTTTGAGGTGGGGAAGATCCACCTTTAATCTGAGCCACACTTTCTGGTAGTGGACTATATAAAGGACATGGAAAAAGGAAGCTTTTTTTTTTTTTTTTTTTTTGCCTACTTGCCCTCACTCTCAATGACAATTTCATTCCTTAACTGGCGTTAGAGCCAACCTCAGGATTCCAGTGAATACCAAAGACCAGTTGAGACAACCAGATTCATGGACAAAACAACTACTGGATTCTTGGACTTTTCATTGGGAGACAGCCATTATTGGACTAGCTGGACCACAGCCTGTAAGCCACTCTAATAATCCCCTAAATAGACATAGAATGAATATATAAAAACACTATGTATTCCAATACTATATATTTTAACTCCTCATTAAAATGAACCAGCTTACAGAGGAGAAGCCAAGGCACAGAGAGGTTGAGTAACTCACCCTGCCATTCAGCTGACCAGTAACTGGGCAAAGCTGTGCCTAGCCACCAACATCAGGCACCAGAATTCACCATCAGTCGTTAAACTGAAGACATCCTGTTCACAAGGGGTCTCCTCCCAACATTGCTGTGACAGCACTTGGAGCCAGAGAAGTTTTAGTTCTCCCACAAGGGCACATATGGGGGTGGTGGGTACTCCTCAGTTAGGATGAGTCCCTCACCCCAGACCCCTTCCTAATCACCAGCCACCTCACCTACCTTTCCTCTTCTTTCAGGAATCTGCCTTGCCTAGTATTCTCTCTCTCTCTCTCTCTCTCTCTCTCTCTCTCTCTCTCTCTCTCTCTCTCTCTCTCTCTCTCTGCCTCCT